GGGGAATGAGATGTTTTCTGATAAATTTTGCGTGCTCCACGCTATCCGGTTTCTCGACCGTCACTCTGTGTAACCCGAAAAGGGAACCCAGGTGTAACACTTTCTTGTCAATTTCCTCCAATTTTTTGATGTCAAGTCTCCTCTTGTATTTCACATTTTGCGGCGAAGCGAACGATGAATCATGGATTCGATAGTCGAACAATGTGGTGTCCTTTATGAAATGAAAATCTTCATCCAGACTAACGCGAAGATTCTGACTCAACCATCCATAGGAAGGTTCCCATCGATCTATGATCTTGTGCCATTCTCTGATAGGCTCCATGTCAAATAAGAAGTCCCAGGATACGGTCGTGGATGAAAAATAATTTAAACATTCGGCTGGTAATGGAATCTGATCCGGTATTTTCCAACAATGTTCCAGGCCCATTTTGGTGGACACGAGCAATTTTTCGTACAGCTTGTCAAATCTTACCCACGGAATGGGTGGCCCGAATAATATCGGCGGCATCAACAATGTACGATTCAATATTTTAGCAAGCAACATTGCATTTGCTAGTGCCACACGTTGATTGTGAAATCCGCTGTGGGCGAAATAAGCTAAAAATCTTTCATCGGGATCAATGATGAACTCTCTGTGGACACGGACTTTGACATCCTTGAATTGTTGTTGTGACGGTGTGACCATTATCGTCGTTTTTGTATCTAACAGGGAATCCGTTTGTCCCGAGTTACTCGCGAGATCTTCGCGGTAAAAGACGTGAAAGAAAGCAATGATCACGAATAACCATAAACCCGAGAAAAATACTGTCCGAATTCCGACATGCGAGATTGCGATCATCGTTCGAGGAAATAATAGGAAAAAATATCATGTCGGCGCGTTCACATATTTATACCCTGGTTATGTGCGATAATGTTGTTAGAGTTAGTCCAGTTTTGGGGAATTTGAAACATAAATTCTACGCCACTAGATTTTTAATAATTATCTTTAACAATTACCATTATTTTTCCTAAACCATGTTATTTCCAAGCAAGATATAAATATCTAGTATAGGTGCATACCTTAATAAAGATTCGGATTTATAAATAACACAGACCCT